TTCTCTATCAAAACCCATCTGACAAAATCTCAGGGTCCTTTATGATTATCCATGACTTTTCAAAAAAATAAAAACAACACCTAGGCTTGTCACATCACCAGGCCTATCACCCTGTCGCATTAACTCACACATACAATCATTCATTTGTAGTTGTATGCATGCATAATCTCATCCTTGCCTACTTCATTGCCATGCGTATCCCAATATCCCATATGTTCAAATCAATGGGGATTTAGACAAATATTAGGTTTAAATAATTTAATATATTATTAAGAGATAATATCATGATTAAAATCACAATATTATTTCCTGATAATAATTGAAAATTATTTCAACCACTTTGTCATTCAATGGTCTCGATTACTCCAGCCGATAATGTAAAATCGGGTCCAAACATTGCCCCCCAATTTCCTTGAGCTTCGGCTCGTAAGCCGAATGGTTAAGGAAATTAATTGTTCGTAACCAACAAAATCCCGTCGTAATGCCGAAAAAGAAACTTTGTTCCTCAACAATAACATGTATGTTCTGCCAATGCTGCAGCCTTCCTCGACTCCCACAACTCCATACCAGGCTCAGCAACTTTGCCAGAAGATCGAGAAGAATTTTTCTTGGAAGCTTGGCCTGCCTATGTATATATATATTGATTGAAGGCCGAAGCTTATTAAATATCCTGACTCTTGGATTTGACAACCCACCTTCCACTATAAAACCTTATGGCCGACTCTTATATATATATATATATATATATATATATTTTATTTTTATTTTTTTATTTTATTTTTTGATAGCCCTCCAATCCCCCACTTTCCTTTTCTTTTGGTCAAAAGAAAATGGGAAAACCACTTTATTAACAAAGTTTGCAACCATCAATCCCCTTGTCCCTTTCATGCACATGCATACATTCATGCATTTTATTTATTAACATTTGATGGGTACCATTTGTCTTCAGCAGCCCATCTATGATGGCAGAAAGTGAGAAAGCTGCCGCAACGACTTGATGACCAAAGCTATGATCAAAGAAGCAATAATCTTGGCAGCTTGGCCTTTCAGGTCGAGAAAATTCATTTGGGCCGAGGTCGAGGAAAGTTATGGCCGAGTACAAGAACTGCTGACTTGGTAATCAGGATTAGTCAAAAAATTGGGAGGCCGAGTCATGATCGAGGATTTTATCCTTAGTTGTTGCACTTGGCTGTTTCTAGATAAATTGCTTAGCAGGAAATCCCACACATTTTTGGCCCTCCTACTGCCTGTAGACCACCAAATTCAATTTACGCCGACTTCGACAAAAACTCATGTATGCCAGATTTTCATTTGCATGGCACCATTGAAAGCACAATGCACACAGCAAATAGCAGTGTCTGCCCCCCTATTTTCTTGGCATTGGCCTGAAAGGCCAAATGGTTAAGAAAATAATTTATTCATCCTTCCTTTTTTTTGCCGAACTATAAAGTGAAGGAGGCCAACGATGTTTTATTCCAAGCCGAGATCTTTTAATATCAAAATTCTCAAATTGATTTCGCTCTAAGCCGAATAAAGAATTTTCACCAAATATTTTTGGCTTGGTGAAATATTTTTCATTTTCGTCCGCCGAAAGTGTCGGACAATTATTATGCCCCCCATGCATAATAATTTCGCTAATTTCAGCTTTTAACTCGAACAACTGAGCCGAACGGGATTGCTCCATATCAGTTTTATTGCCAATAACCATATCGATTGTCATGGTTTGGGCATCTAAAACCATGTCTTGGCCCTGTTCGTCATTGGAACACTCTAATGAATCATTTTCTAAGTTGATTTGTGGCTCAGAAATTTGAACTTTTTCTCCTAGGCCCACAATTTTAGTCTTGACTGAAAAAACAGGTGGCCTAGGTTTTTCTTCGGCCATCTCGACAATTCCCTGAGGCCGAATTTTGATTGTGGTTGGAGTGAAAAATTGCCCCCCGGCTTTTGGACCTAACCATTTTTCAAATGGAATTGATCTGTAATCAGAAACATAAGGAAAACGTTTTTCATCTAGCCAGGCATTAAATCGAGCCCTGTCTTCATTTACCCATTGCTCTTGTAGGGTAACATGAGCTTATATTTTCAACATCTAAGTGAATGATTTTTGCTTGGTTCTCACGCCACGAAGAACTTTTACTGCTTCCCATGATTTTTTATCCTTCTCAAGGCGTTTTCTATTTTGCTCAAGGCGTTTTGTACCCTTTTCACTATTTCTTTTCATTTGCACAAAAAGCTCGTGCAATCAGCTAAATGGAGCCAGACTGACATCTTGATCTATCATGCGAACTTCGTAGTTTTAGCACTGTGTCCTACCAGGCATGCCAAAATGTTGACCCTAAAAATTACAAAGCCTACGTGGCGCACAGGCTGAGTAACTAATGAGCTAACTACGTCCTTCAGTTGTATGCGGCCGAGCTCGGCCAAGGAGTAAAATTTGTTGATGTTGCGTTGAGCTCGTTGTTGACTTCTTGATCTTGCAATTACGGCCGAGGAAGGAACAAGTCTCGGCCTTTGGATTCTCGAGCCTAAAGACAAGGCTGCTAGTTCTGCAAAGTTCACAAATCGTCGGTGCTGGATTCATTCATAGTGATTATATTCGTAAGAGTATAAGCACGTCGAATCGACACCAGACTATATGGACACAAGTACTCAAAGGAGATGTATGTCTTGATGGTAAATGTGGTTCGGCCGTCAAAATGCCGAACTCTGAAACTCACTTATAAATATCCAATCATAAAATCACTCGACGTTCATTGTGCCGAATGTTGTAACTTGTAACACCTTACTTCGTCGAGAAGGCTAATAAGATGACCTCTGCCAATAAGGATTTGAAAACCCTTCTTAACCGAGACTTGGATAGGTAACTAGTCGGCCTCGACATAGTACTGTTTATCCAAACTGAAGGTGCTCCTTGATCGGCTGATTCTACGGCAATAGTGTTGTTTATCCAAACTGAAGATGTTCGCCGGTTGCCTTCACAGTGCTATTTATCCAAATTGAAGATGTATCGGCGGAAAAAGAAAATAAAAAAAAATCTCAAGATGTTTGAGAGGTTTGCGCAAGGCAATTGTGTGTTGAATTGGAGGTCCCTTTTCCGTTGCCATTGCATCTGTATTTATAGGACTGACGTACTTGCTTGGCACGGCTAGATAATCCTGTAGAGTCCCTTTGCAACTCAAACTCTGTCGAACATCACTTCAGAATTGGTGTCTACTCATCTTGGCTGTCAAATATCTCTAAGATATGATAAAGGCTATCTTCTAATTTTCCTTGAAAAAAATAAATATATATTTCCACATACGTGACCTCACCAAATGAAAGCATCCTATTCCAACTGAAACTTCTCTTTTTCCACCATGTTAGTCCAGGTGCAACCATGCATGCATACTAAATTGCATTTTATCTGCAACACAACTTGATCACTTTAAGAGACCATTCTCTATCAAAACCCATCTGACAAAATCTTAGGGTTCTTTATGATTATCCATGACTTTTCAAAAAAAAACAAAAACAACACCTAGGCTTGTCACATCACCAAGCCTATCACCTCGTCACATTAACTCACACATACAATCATCCATTTGTAGTTGTATGCATGCATAATCCCATCCTTGCCTGTTTCATTGCCGTGCGTATCCCAATATCCCATATGTTCAAATCAATGGGGATTTAGACAAATATTAGGTTTAAATAATTTAATATATTATTAAGAGATAATATCACGATTAAAATCAAAACATTATTTCCTGATAATAATTGAAAATTATTTCAACCACTTTGTCATTCAACGGTCTCGATTACTTCGGCCGATAGTGTAAAATCGGGTTCAAACACCCGTACAGACCCACCGAGGCCTCGACTCTCACTTATATGCTTGTTACCCATATTTTCATTATGTTGTAATATTTAATAATCTATATGTCATTTTATTTTGTAACTTATTTACCCCAATGCATTTTGTATTCTTTAAGTGTAAACATGCACTTATTTATACGTTATATAATAAATATACTTAAATCCGCCTAGTCTACCTTGGTCCTAGACCTGTCATTCGTGTCGTGTTTTTCATGTTCGTATTATTTTCGTGACATACCTGATATCTTAACAGTTAGTATCGTGTAACACCCTTTAAAGTAAACGGGTAATAGGACCCGACCTGAAATTGACCCGTTAATATTATTAGGTAATATGACTCGACTCATTACCCGTTAAGGAAAATATATTTTAAATCAATAAATAATGAAAATGAAAAACATAATTTGACCCCAAAAAAATTGAAAACATAATACTAAACTTGTATATGTATATCACATTGTCACATAAATATCACTTCAAAACATAAAAACAACATTTTTCTTTTAAGTATTACATATCCCAAAATAAGAGTCTACAGAAAAAACATTAGTACATTACTACAAAATATCAAATGTTCAAAGATATGCAAAATGAAAGGAGTTGCGTTTCAAGGTTGAGGAAACCTTGCACGTTTTTGACAATAAAACACTTTAACTTTCATCAATCACCAAGGGAAATGATATTGGTTTATTTTGAACTCCCTTAAAAATACTATTCATGAGGGTTTGTATGGTTTTAAAAATTCAAACGACGATGTACTCATCCTCAAAGCGTAGAGGACTCGATCACGAACGTTTGTGTATTTTTTCACATTTTTCGCACTTGTAAATTAATTATTATATTCTTTTTAATGTGTTTGGTATTTTTTTAAATTAAAGTGTGCAAACGGGTAGAATTATTTCATGGATAGTGTACGAAATTTCGTGCATTAAAATAATTCGTGCATTAATTAATCAGTGTCGGAAACACTGTTTTGGATAGTGTACGTTAGATTACGTTTTTATGAAATTTTGTTGTCTTTTTTCTTTTGAAGGTTTGACCCGTACCTATCCTTATCCACCAATTATTTTAACTCCTAATTTTCCCTAGCCCAATCAGATTATATCTCTCTTTTCTTTGCCCAATCAAGTACTCTCTCTCTCCTTCTCTCTCATTTTTCTTCTTTCTTCTCACACCTGAGACACCCTAACCTTTGAACACACACCAAATCATCATAGATTGAACCTGCAAAGACCATCATTGTTTTCATCTTGACCTCACGAACCTAGTCGTACCATATGATTGTCGAACGGACGAGTTTTGACTCGTTAACTCGGAAGCTTCGACTCGGTGCCCTTTGCTCCAACGCGATCCCAGCGAGATTATAAGGTTTTAGGACATGGGGAAGCTTCTATTCAACTCCATAGGGACCCTAGACTAAGTTTGGGAAGGAGTCGATGTCGGATCATGCGAGTTTAAGAAGTTTTAGTTTTGGCCAAATCTTTTGAGGGATTTTCAGGCCATTTTCCTGTTATTTTTGGATCCCCAAGAGGTACAATGTTGTTCTCCTTGTCATAAGCTTTAAATTCGTATGAATTTCATGGATTTTGGTTGAGAAATGAGCTAGATATAAAGGTTTGAAAATTTTCCCAGAAACCGGCGAGATTTTCCGAGAAACCAGTGAACCAGACGGAGGCGGAGGTGGACGGTGAAGCTTACTGAAGAAGAAGGCGAATATTTCGTCAACTCCATTACTATTTAACAGAATATCCCTAACGTCCGTTAGGGTTCCGTCGGCACATGCTGTGCTCATGCCTGCATGTAGTCGTGGGTTCGACTACACGTGAGGGCTTGTACGGCCTCCGACCGGCGAGTGGTTTTCATGTGCGGGTTCGTGACTTCGAGTAGATCATTTTTGTATATTCAAACCTTCCATTTGAGCAAACTATGAGAAGTTTATCCTAGATTTTGGTTTATGTGCTGTTTTAATTAATTAAAAGTAGTTGTTTCACATATAGGGGAGACATACCCCAATGACGAACGCGGACAAGCAAGGCTAGGGGGCTACGATCCTTCGACATATCAGTGAGTGGGCATTTATTTTCGTGTATATATATATGTGTGTGTATATATATATATAAACTTATTGGTTTCCATAAATGTTTTAAATTGATTTGTGCGTAGCATGCCATGATTTAAATATGTTATATTTTGAATGTTGCATTGTTATGAGTTTATGATTATGCCGCATGATCCTATGGAAGGCGCAGGTAAGTTAGGTGATTTGTTACGTGATTGAAATGGTTGCATTATATTGGTATGCATATATTCATTTAGAGCTCATCATTGTTGCACCCAGTTGTTAGTGTTCTCGTCCCGGGCCAAGGCCAGTCCTTCACGTGATGTTCACCTCCCGTACCGCATAGTCGCCTTGAATCCAAGTTTGGTGCCAGCCCTGTTGTACAAGTCACATTAGGTGACTCCGACTCGTAGATGACCTGCGATTTATCGCTAGCCTTCACGTGATCGTAGCACTAGAGTGTACATATTTACACCCAGCCCTATCGTAGAGGTCGCACTAGGTGAGTTTGACTCGTGTGCAAGCATAGATTGATGAGTAATAAGTCCAGTCATACAGGTCACATTAGGTGACTTCGATTGACATGATAGTTTAGATTGATTCACACCTAACTTGCATTTATTATTACTGAGAAATCGTGGCATGGCGTGCTTTTGTTTTCTCTGATTTGTGCATTGATTTTCATGCTTACGTAGTATTATTTATAGGAAACTGTACGGGTTTTACAGTGAGGGGTTATTAATTTTAGAAAAGATAAATGCGATGTCTAAAGCTTTGTTTTTGCCCACTCACCCTTCTGTTTTTCGTCTTTCCAGGTACTAGTTAGCTGTTGCTCTGTGTGGCACAAGAGGATTACCCGACGGATTCTGACATTCCACTAAATTATGTAGGGTTCTTCTCTCTGGTTGTGTATTTGGTACTTAGTTAGTTCAACTGCACCTTTAAATTACCTATGCTCTGAATGTTTGTATCTTGGGTTTGACCACTTCCTGCATACTCACTTATTTTTAGTTTAAGTTTTAGTTTTGGTTTTAATTTGTTCACATTTTTAATTACTTCTTTTGCACTCTTGGCTACGTCACTCTCACGTGACGGCCAGCACGCCTTGACTTTGGTTGGGGTGTGTCATTTATAACATTCTAGGTGTATTCAATTAGAAATTTATTTTAAAGAGTTTGAGAAAGTTGAGGAATTAGAGAGAATTGGAGAGATTTTGTAGTGTATTTTAAGCATCCATAAATTTCGCCTCTCCCTATGAGATTTCTAAGGAATTGGATCAAAATTTTATATGGAATCTCTAAAAACCAATTAAACTACATAAAAATCCATGGATTTATAAATCCATTAAAGTCTCTCAAATTCTCAATTGAATATCTAAATCGTGAAAATGATATTTAGAATTCGTTTAGATGTGCTTTTGAAATGACTGAAAGTGCTTTTGGTGAACATGTTTTTAGAACCAATCGTTAATAAAGATGCAATTAAATCTTGAAAAAGCACTTAAAGCGTTTCTTGGAAGAAGCACTTACCTGGTGCTTCTTGCAGAAAGCACTTTAAATGCTTTCGAAACCCAAAAATATTTTCTCTAGAAGCACTTTAAGTCATTTTAAAAACACATCCAAACGAGCGCTTAGATGATAAAGAGAACTAATGTATTTAATTGTTATGTTTATATAGTAAAATAATAAAACGTGAGTGAAAAATGAGGACTTTCCTCCTTTAGAAGAATTATTATTCATATACGTTGATACCTTTTCTTCGATCATGAATTTATATAGGGTAAATTACATAAAACTACCTCAACTATTGGGTCATTAATAGTTTCATACCTCGTTTTTAAAAAGTTTCAATGTCATACCTTATTTTCGAATTTTGTTGCAATGTCATACCTTCCGTCAATTGTCTGTCAATTTATCTATTAAATGCTGACATGGCTTGTGACGTGGCACACTTTATATTAAAAAACTAAAATACAATTATATAAATATTTTTATAAAAAGAAGGTGGGGCCCACCCACCTTCTTCCCTCCCACCCGTCTCCCTTCCCCCCCTCTCGGCGCCCTTCTCTCTCGGTCTCTCCCCCCTTCTTCATATCTCCTTCCCATTCATCTTCCCCTCCCACCCCACCCCTTGTAACCCAGAAAGAAGAAAGAAAGAAAGAAAGAAAGAAAGAAAGAAAAAACAAAAAACCCAAGTTGCAACCCAGAAGAAGAGAAAGAAAAAAAAAAAAAAAAAAAAAAGCAAACCCAGTTTGTCCCTCCCCCCACCCAACCTGCAACCCAGAAGAAGAAGAAGAGGAAAAAAAATAAAGCCAACCCACCCTCTTCCCTCCTTTACACACTATACTCCTTAAATCCACACCCATTGGCGAATACGGGATCTGGGTTGCAGGGAAAAGGGGGATGAAGATGGGTTTGTTTTTTTTTTTTTTTTTTTTTACTGGGTTGCAGGTTAGGCTCAGGTTGGGGGAGGGGGAAGATGGGAAGTGGGTGCACATAAGAGGTGGAGGATAGGTGCAGGGAGGGACGATGGATGGGGAAGATGACGCCGGGCAGGGGGGGTTGAGGGGATAGATGGGGAAGATGATGAAAGGGGTCGGGGGGTTGGGTTTAGTTTAGTTTTTTTTTTTTTTTAATTTATAATTTTAATTTTTAATATTTAATTAATATTTTTTAGTTTTTAATAATATTTTATTAATTTTTTAATAAAAAGCGGACCCCACCTCATGCCATGTCAGCATTTAACAGAGGAATTGACAGACAACTGACGGAAGGTATGACATTGCAACAAAATTCGAAGATAAAGTATGACATTGAAACTTTTTAAAGAAGAGGTATGAAATTGTTAATGACCCAATAATTGAGGTAGTTTTTTGTAATTTACCCATTTATATAAAGTCATGACCAAGCAAATTTTTTTAGAAAAACTAATGAAAAACGTTTGAAAACTTTGAGTTTTAACGAAAATGACAAAATAAAGGGTAAAATGAATAGTACCATGATTGACTTTTTAGTTTAAAAATGTGATTTTTCATTAAATTGAATAGTACCTGGAGCTTTTCGTTAAAGTTCCTTTTTTTTTTTTTGGGTAGTGCTTCACACACTTATTTTCATTTTTTATCCACACATGAATTTCCAACCCTAGAATCGAATGAATTGGACAAAATTAATAAAAATGTATGAGAAGTAAAAGTAGGTGTGTGAATAATATTTTTCTTTTTTTTCATGCCCAAACAAGATAAACCTAGCCCTAATTTCAGGTGGGCAGAAGAATTTTAAAATTTACTATGATTTTAAATGAATTTTTGAAAGTAAAAGAGGTATTCAATAAAAAATTAAAAGAGTTTATAAAAGTTCATAAAAATTCAGGTGTATTTAATTAAGATTTAATTTTTAAATGATGTATTTTATTGGAATTAGAAGAGATTTCATAATTGCATTTTCTTTGAACTGAAATTAGAACAGAGAGCATGAAAGGGAGAGAGAGGGGTAGGGGAAGATAGAAGGGTGAGTAATGCTCGAGAAACGGTGCGGTGGAGTTGGGGGAGGGTTGATGTGGTTAGAAGATGAAGTTGGATTGGACTTTGTGGTGATATCGGTTTTCATTTATATTTTGTTATAACAAACAAGAAAACATTTCAAAGGCACCGCCGCACCGTATAGTTTGACAAACAAGGGAACTGGAAATACTTACTTTGGGGCTTTTCGGTTGGAAATACTTGCAAAAAAAAAAAGGAAAATACTTGCGAAAAAGGGGATAAAACGTTAGAAGCATCACTGATATGTTGCTGTCAACAAACTTTTAACTCTTTCATCTGTATTCAAGTCATCTAGATGAGTGTTATTAATTCAGTCAGACCGCAGCATCACTCATCATTCATATTCCCTGACATATTCACAGATATTGTAACTGTATACAACTTAAAATATCAAGTAATAATATTACATATAAGGGGCTTAAAATAAATCATCAGGAGTGTAAGATTTATCTTATGGGATAAACAAATATCAAAGGATATTTCACCCACATGAGGACGTTAACCTCTTAATTATCTATGTGATAATTAGATGAAAATCAAGAGATATTCATATTAGAATATACTTAGGATTTTCATGGGCTTTTCAGTCTTTGTACACTCTTCCCAACCACCATCTAAGGAGGTTTTGGGGAAGAGAGAAAATATAAGAAACACAAGCTTTTCCAGAGTTCAAATATTCTAGTTAGGTCTTTAGAGCTATCACTTTTGGCTCTAGGTCTTGGGAGGCGAAAACCAATGGGCAACTCAACATACGATAGCCAACCGGACGACCTGCGAGGTTCTAGACGTGCACGAAGGATCAGAGCAGTTGTTCGTGTTTGTAGGAGCGTGCTGAGATTCAAGCTTCCGCATAAAAGGTACACACGTCCTTCGAATTCATTTATAGTCTTCAAACAGTGGTATTAAGGCCACTCACACACTCCTTGCATAAAAGCATGAGATATATATATATATATATATATATATATATATGAATATGCCATGTACGAAAACCTTGAAATCATGAGATATATATGAATATGCCATGAATGCTTGTCTTTAAAATTTTCGTTTTTGCCATGCTTATTTTTTCTGGGTTTTAATGCGTGGGTTATGTTGTTTACATTCATAAGACTATGTTTAAAATTTGGTAAAGAAAAACCAAGTGGTTAGAGACATAATCGAAACCCTAGTTTCGTAATAGCATGAAAAATGATTTTTTTCAAGGTTTTTGCGACCCTTTTTTCATGCAGTTAGAGTTTTTTTGGAATTCACCAAAGAAGACTTAATTGTAGATGGTAATCTGATCCTTCTAACGACATGAAATATGCATAAAACGGATGCATATTCGCTAAGTTATGGCCTCTATAAACAGGCCTCACAAGAATGAAAATCTGGAAATTTTAGATTTTTTGGAAGAAGATGATGAACAGTGGTTCATCTCTTCCACTCTCGGCCTAAGCAAGTACGAGTACAATGCTAGGCTTTCGTGGATGTTAGCTACACCGTTGGATTCATCTTAGGGAGTTCAATTTAATGGATGTCAAAAGAATGGCATCGGACAGCGAGAAGTCGTTGCTTGTGTGTCATGCGCCACCCACGGCGAATGGGTTTGCGCAATATTAAATTAATTATTAAAAAAATTAATTAATTTTGCACCGCAGCTTTGGGCGGTGCGTGGGCCGTGTTTTTGGGACACGGCTGGTGAGTGAATCATTGTGGTTCATTGACCTACATAAGTGTATGTTTAGGTTTGGTATTAGAGATGTTTTTAATTTACTAAAATTTAGGAAACATTCTTAATTAACCTTTAAAAAATCCAACACATGCCAAGATTTTAGGAAAATAAAAAAAGAGATAATGTTGATCAAATTTGCTCATGTTGATTAAGCATTTTAAATTAGAAAGGAATATTCTCTAGGAGAATATTTAAAAATAAAAAAAAGGATTACCTAATTAATAAAAAATAATGAAATTAAACTAGGGTTCACTAATGGTCACCTCTTATTTGATGTGGTGTCTAGAAAAAATCTTTAAGGAGACACTTTGGGTGTCAAAGAGGTTCGGTTTTTAAAAGCTTTGCACTCCCACCCCTCACGTATTTGACCTGGCCGCACTTACAGAGGCCCACATGTCGAGCCCATTGTCTAAACACCCTAATCGTTGTGCACTCAATTGGATGTTGCATGAAAAATGGATAAGCTTAAAACATAATAATGTTTAAATAAGATTTATTTAAAAAATAATTAGAAAATATGATCTTGACTCTTAGAATTGAATGGTAATTATGAGTGACTTAGCGGATTTTTCAATTTCAACCTAGGAGAAAAAGTGAAATATTTTCTAACGAGTTTTCGAAATAAATAAATGTAAGATGTGTAATTAATAATGTCAAAATGATTTCACCCTTGTAGAAAGAAATGGTTGCCAAAAATGTTGTTGCTGATTTGACCATGGGAGAAAAGCTGGTTGGAACCAACTATGATATTTGGCACAGGAAGATCCAATATGTTCACAATGAACAAGAGCTCTTGGAGCCTTTAGAGGCT